GAGCTTCTGGTGGTTACTGAAAATTCTTTTTTTTTTTTTTTTGAGGTTTTTTTTTTTTAGTTTATTTATTTATTTATTTATTTATTAAATTATTATCTGTGTACATATTTTAACATTCCCCCCCCCCTGTCCCATACAAATCCTCCCTCCCCAGAGTTTTGTGCCCATTGGTTGTACTTATATGCATGTATACAAGTCCTTCGGTTGACCTATTATCTCCCCCAGATCACCCTACCCTCCCCGCTGTAATTTGACCGTCTGCTTGTTGTTTTACTGTCTTAAAATTCTTTACTCCCACACGCTGCAGTCCTACCTGGCACGTACACCCGCTGCCAGTGCCGGAGCCACTGCCCACACCCCCTGCCAACGCCAGTCCCACTTGCATCTGCAGCCAGTGCCCTGGGCCAGTTCTGATTACTCAGTGCCCCTGAGGGCTTCTCCACCTCCCCCTGCTCCTGAGGGGCAATCAGGGTAGCAGCCCCCTCTTGTACCCACTGCTGGCACAAGCCCAAATCACTCCATGTCAGCAGATGTGAGTGGGGCCAGTGCTGTCAGCACACAGGAGTGGCAATACCAGGAGCAGGGCTGCTGGCAGACAGGGGACTGGGGGCCACAGCGGGAGGAGCCAGGCGGGGGCACAGGGGATGGTCTGAGACCTGCCCCTGTGCCTACTGCAGCCTCGCAGCCCCCAGTTCCTTCCAAGGTGCACAAATTTGTGCACTGAACCCCTAGTATTTAAAATAAAAAGGAATTGGAAAGCTAATTAAAGATCTATCTTTTTAAAAGGCACCAGTTCCAGATGGATTTATAGCTGAGAATCACTTTTAAAGAACAGATATTTCTATCTTATTTAAATTATTCTATACTATAGAAAAAGTTGAAAGAGCTTAAATACATTTTATAAAACTATTTTACCCTTAATTCTAAAACACAATAAAGGTAATACAAAAAGTCCATAAAGCCCGGTCAGCATGGCTCAGTGAACATCGACCTATGAACCAGGAGAGCATGGTTCTATTCCCATTCAAGGCACATACCTGGGTTGGGGGCTCAATTCCCAGTGTGGGGCGTGCAGGAAGCAGCCTATCAATGATTCGCTCTTATTATTTATGTTTCTATCTCTCCCACCCCTTCTTCACTGAAATCAATAAAAAATATATTTTAAAAAACAACCATAAACAAGTTTATTTTTTAATATAGATGCCAAGACTCTAAATAATCTCTTTGCAAATCAGATCCAACAGTCTATTAAAAGAAAATCATCTTATGACCAAGTAGGATTCCAGGAAACAAAAATGATTTAACATAAGGAAATCTATGTCTTTAATTTACCTTGGAAATATAATATAGGAGGAAGATTACATGACTATATCAAGTTATTGAAAAGGCTTTTGATAAAAATTCAGCAGCCATTTATTTTTTTCTTTTATTAAGGTATTATATGTGTACATATCTTATCATTGCCCCCCACCCCACTCCCAATGTTTTGCATCTGTTGGTTGTTTTTTATTTTTTCTTTCTTTAAATATATTTTATTGATTTTTTTACAGAGAGGAGGAGAGAGGGATAGAGAGTTAGAAACATTGATGAGAGAGAAACATCGATCAGCTGCCTCCTGCACACCTCCTATTGGGGATGTGCCCACAACCAAGGTACATGCCCTTGACCGGAATCGAGCCTGGGGCCTTTCAGTTTGCAGGCTGAAGCTCTATCCACTGAACCAAACTGGTTAGGGCTGTTGGCTATTCTTATATGCATGCATTCAAGTCCTTTGGTTGATCTCTTATCTCCCCCACCTCTCCCTAACCTTCCCGCTGTAATTTGACAGTTTCTTTGATGCTTTACTGCACATGTGTCAAACACAAGGCCCGCGGGCCAAATCCGTCCCGCCAGGCCTTGCAATGTGGCCCGCACCGCGCTGTCATCACTGCACTCCGCTGCGTTTCCATCACAATGACAGTTTATGACTGTTCAGTAAACCATTCGGCCCACGATTTAGGCTGGATTTTAGATTTTGGCCCCTTCTCTGATTGAGTTCGACACCCCTACTACTGCCTCTGTATCTATCTTTTGGTTCATCAGATTATAATGTTCTTTACCATCCACAAATGAGTGAGATTATGTGGTATTTTTCTTTCATTGACTGACTTATTTCACTTAGCATAATGTTCTCCAATTCCATCCACGTTTCTATAAATGGTAAAAATTCTTTATTTTTTACTGCAGCATAGTATTCCATTGTGTAGATGTAGCACTGTTTTCTGATCCAGTCATCTGCTGATGGGGCACCTAGGCTGTTTCCAAATCCTAACTATGGTGAATTGTGCTGCTATGAACATAGGGGTGCATATATCCTTTCTGATTGGTGTTTCTAGCTTCTTGGGATATATTCCTAGGAGTGGGATTACTGGATCAAATGGGAGTTCCATTTTTAGTTTTTTGAGGAAACTCTATATTGTTCTCCACAGTGGCTGCACCAGTCTGCATTCCCACCAGCAGTGCACGAGGGTTCCTTTTTCTCCAAATCCTCGCCAACACTTGTCATTTGTTGATTTGTTGATGATAGCCATTCTGACAGGTGTGAGATGGTACCACATTGTCATTTTGATTTGCATCTCTCAGATAATTAGTGACTTTGAGCATGTTTTCATGTGTCTCTTGGCCTTCCTTCTGTCTTCTTTAGAAAAGATTCTATTTAGGTCCATTGCCCATTTTTTAATTGGATCATTTATCTTTCTTTTATTAAGTTTTATAAAATGCCTGTAAATATTGGAGATTAAACCTTATCAGTGATAACACTTGCAAATATGTTCTCCCATACAATGGGCTTTCTTGTTGTTTTGTTGCTGGTTTCTTTTGCTGTGAAAAAGCTTTTTATTTTGATGTAGTCCCATTTTTTTCTTTTCTCTTTAGCTTCCATTGTCCCAGGGGCAGTATCAGTGAAGAAGTTCTTTTGGCATATGTCTGAGATTTTGCTGCTTGTGGATTGCTTTAGTATTTTTATGGTTTCCCACCTTATGTTTAAGTCCTGTATCCATTTTGAGTTTATTTTTGTGTATGGTGTAAGTTGGTGGTCTAGTTTTATTGTTTTGCATGTATCTATCCAATTTTTCCAACACCATTTATTGAAGAGACTGTCTTGACTCCATTGTATGTTCATTCCTCCTTTGTCAAATATTAATTGAGCATAGTGGTTTGGGTCAATATCTGGATTCTCTATTCTATTCCATTGGTCTATATGTTCTTGTGCCAGTACCAGGCTGTTTTGAGTCAGCAGCCATTTCTAATAAGAACAGCTATTTATGCCAGGCATTTGTTCCAAGGGCTTTGCTTGCATTAATTTACTTAATTCTCCTAACAATACTGCTGCAATTATTTTTATCCCGAAAGAAACTCAGTGAGGTTAAATAATGTCACACATATGGAAATGATGGAGCCAGGATTTGAACCAAGGTAGTGTGGCTCTAGAGCTCATATTCTTATGAGCTATACTACACCACCTCTAATAAAATCTCTAATTGGCACCGAAAGAAAATCACTAAAATATGAACAGTGTTAATTATTAAAGGCTAACAGTAAACTCTATTAGGAAAGGAGAAGTTGTCATTAAATTTAGGAGCTGGGATTTCTGGTGGTTACTGATCCCAGGGCTACCACCAGATCTCACAGAGGCGCCTTATGTTAACCTGCCTCCCCCAGCTCTGTGTATCACAGACTCTCCTCTGAGCTATGTGGGCATTGCTATCCCTTGCAACAGCAGGGGGCTCACTCAGTGGGTCTGCTGTGGTGGACGCTGGCCTGGGAAGTTCTGTGCATGCGCAGCACTGTCTCCCCTGACCACCCACAGGGAGGTCATGCCTGATCTCTACTTCTACAGAGATAGAAAACGAAGAGCAGGCCACTGCTGGGAAGGCAGTGAGTGAACTTCGGTACCCAAGTTCACTGCTGCGTAACCTGAAGTCACAGAATGGTCTGAAGGCACAGGTGCTCTCTGTGCCTATTCAAACCTGCAGCGCTCAGCTGCCACTGAAGGCCGATCTGCAGCCCCCACTGCTCAGCCCACTGAATGGGTAGGTACAACCACTGAGTGCTCTTAAGCTGTCCTTCCATAAACTCTTAAACAGGTTGACAGAAGATAGAGTTCTAAAAGTTGTGTCCAACCCTAACTGGTTTGGCTGAGTGGATAGAGCATTGGCCTGTGGACTCAGGGATCCCAGGTTCTATTCTGGTCAAGGGCATGTACCTTGGTAACGGGCATATCCCTGGTAGGGTGTGTGCAGGAGGCCACTGATCTAAGCTTCTCTCTCATCGATGTTTCTAACTCTCTTTTTCTCTGTAAAAAATCAATAAAATATATTTTAAAAATAAATAAATAAAAGGCGTGTCCATTAAAAAAAGATGATCCTGACTGGCATGGCTCAGTGATTGAGCATTGACCTATGAACCAGGAGTTCACAGTTTGATTCTGGTCAGGGCACACGCCCAGGTTGGGGGCTCGATCTCTGGTGCGGGGCATGTAGGAGGCAGCCAAGCAATGATTCTCTGTCATCACTGATGTTTCTACCTCTCTCTCCCTCTCGTTCCTCTCTGAAATCAATAAATATATATAATATATACATATATATATATTAAAGTAAACAACAATAAAAACTTAATTGAAAACAAAAGATGAGACTTCTGTGATTCTTGATTTGCCCAAGCTTATTCAGTTTAAAAGTGACCAAGTAGCTATTTGGCTAGGGGAAAACTCAACAAGGCAATGAAACAGCATGTGAACTTTTGAAGTTGTTGTTACAGTATGATTCAAGTAATTAGACAATCCAAAAAATGTTTAAGTCACAAAGAGGAGATTCTCAAGAATCAGCCAAGGTCTTCGAATTAGTTAAGGGGAAACTTTACCACGAAGAACATAAATGCCAGTTTCTAACAATAGAGTGAAATGTTCATAAACAAGGATATATGAATGAATCATCTGAAAAAAGTCACTTCTTTTTGTCTCTATGACACGACCAGCTCTTTCTACAGCAGGCTGGCAGGCTGATGCAGGAACACCTGGGTCTAGGCCAGAGAGCATGGGCTAATGTGGGAATGTGCTCAGATTAGCAGCACATCAGATAAAGTTTCCTCGGCTTCCTAAAGATAGGTGGTAACGAGTTGAGATCATTCCATAATTTTCCTGCTCCAAACCTTTCTTAAAGCTTCCTTCACATCCTTGTTTCTCAGAGAGTAGATAAGGGGGTTCAGCATTGGGATCACCACCGTGTAGATCACAGCCACTGTGCGGTCTTGGGCCAGGGAGTAGCTGGACCTGGGGCGCAGGTACATGAAGAGTGCGGTGCCATAGAAGAGACACACGGCAACGAGGGGAGAAGCACAGGTGGAAAAGGCCTTGAATCTGCCCTGGGCTGAATTCATTCTCAGGATGGAGAAGAGAATTAAGAGGTAGGAAACCAAAATGGTGAGGGTGCAGCTCAAAAGGTTGAAACCAGCAAAAATAAACATCAGGATCTCACACAGTGAGGTGCTCACACAGACAGAGACAGGATGGGCGGTCCGTCACAGAAGAAATGTGTGACCACGTGAGCACCACAGAATTTCAAACTGAAGATACAGCTTGTGTGGATAAGAGAGTTGAGGAATCCTGCTCCATAGGAGCCTACAATCAGAGCGACACAGACCTCAGGAGACATGGTGATGGCGTAGAGCAGGGGGTTACAAATAGCAGCGTAGCGGTCGTAGGCCATGGCAGCAATGAGATAGCACTCACTGGTGGCAAAACCTGCATAGAAGAACATCTGAGCCATGCAGCCAAGATAGGAGATGACCTTCCTTTTGGCCAAGAAGTTCACCAGCGTCTGGGGGACAACTGTGGAGGAACACCAGAAATCCAAGAAGAACAGGCTTTTCAGGAGCGAGTACATGGGTGTGTTCAGGGTGGCACTCACATGGATCAGAAGGAACATGACCAGATTCCCCAGCAGAGTGACGATGTACATGCCCAGGAACACCACGAAGAGCAGGGTCTGGAGCTGGGGGTCACTGGTGAGGCCCAAGAGCTCAAATTCCATCTCTTGGCTCAGGTTTGCTCCTTCCATAGTTCTCAGGTGCTCTGGGCGCAGAGCGGGGAGAGCACCAGAAATGAGGCAGAACCCCCAGGGGGTCTCACTAGGTTTAGTTCTGCCTAGGTTTAGGACAGCCTTCTGGAGATTGGTCTAACTGAGGCGTCTGGTTTTGTAGATGGAACTCAGTCATAAAGAATGTCTTCTAGCTGAAACCAGTTTGGCTCAGTGGATAGAGCGTTGGCCAGTGGACTGAAAGGTCCCAGGTTCTATTCCAGTCAAGGGCAGGTACCTTGGTTGCAGGCACATCCCCAGTAGGGGTGTGCAGGAGGCAGCTGATTGATGTTTCTCTCTCATCTATGTTTCTAACTCTCTATCCCTCTCTCCTCCTCTCTGTAAAGAATCAATAAAATATATTAAAAAAAGAAGAAGAAGAAAAAGAATGTCTTCTCACCCTGGCTGGTGTTTCTCAGTGGTTACGGCATTGGCCTGCACACTGAAGGGTCAGAGGTTTGATTCCTGATCAAGTTGCATGTACCTGGGTTGCAGGTTCCATCCCCAGAGCATACAGGAGGCGACCAATCTCTCTCTCCCTCTCCCTCTTTCTTTCTCTCTCTCTCTCTCTCTCTCTCTCTCTCTCTCTCTCTCTCTCTCTCTCTCTCTGTCTCTCTCTCTCTCTTTCTCTCTCTCTCTCTGTCTCTCTCTCTCTCTTTCTCCTTTCTTCACTTCCACTCTCTTTAAAATCAATGGAGAAAATATCCTCGGGTGAGAATTAACAACAAAAATAAATAAAATGAAAATTTTAAAAAGAAAGTCTCCTCTACTTGTTGGTTAGTTAGGAAGCATTACTTGAGCATCAATGGAAAATATTAAAAATATATACACAATTTGGTCTCTGGGGAATCTTAAAAAATTCTAAATAATCAGTTACTTATCAAATATACACTGAGTAACCTGATTATTATGATCTCTGAACACATAATAATTAGGCCACTCATATATATATATATATATATATATATATATATATATATATATATATGCAAGTATTAGAGGCCCGGTGCATGAATTCATGCATGGGTGGGGTCTGGCCAGCCTGGCCAAGGGGAGGGGATATGGGCAGTTGGCCGATCTGCCTGCTGGTCGAACTCCTGGTTGAGGGGGAAATTTGCATGTTAGCCTTTTATTATATAGGATATTCACTGAGTGGCCAGATTATTATGTGTTCAGAGATCATAATAATCTGGCCACTCAGTGTATATTGACAGCCTTCCATAGGCTTAGCTCTGTGTTCCCCTGTAAGGAATTCAAGAGTGTCTGACCTCATCCTGGTTGATTTGGCTCAATGGATAGAGCATCAATCTGCGCACTGAAGGGTCCTGGGTTTGATTCCAGTCAAGGGCATATGCCCAGGTTGCAGGCTCAATCTCCAGTGGGGGGTGTTCAGGAGGCAGCCGATCAATGATTCTCTCTCATCATTGATGTTTCTATCTTTCTCTCTCTCTCTCTCTTCCTTCCTCTGTGGAATCAATTTAAAAAAAATTTTTAAAGAGTGTCTGACCTTCGTAGAGACAGTATATTTCGTGTTTAAACACACAGGCTGTGGTGTCAAACAGCCCACATTCCAAGCCAAAATCTTCTATTTGTTTTACTGTGGAAACATTATTTGACCATTCTGAGTTTCAACTTTCTCATCTGTAAAATAGGGATAATAGCATTAATCTCAAAGGATTGTTGTAAAAATTCAATGAATTAATCCATGTAAAGCACTTGAATAAAGCCTGGCACATAAAAAAAAGAAAAGAAAAAAAGAAAGAATGTTAGCTTTGATTATTCTCATTGGGGAGATAGACCTAACACAGGATCAATAAAATGAAATAACAACACCCTGGCCATGCACCTCGATTGGTTGAGCAGCATCTGAAGCACCAAAAGGTTATGGGTTTCATGCCCTGTGGGCACATGTCCAGACTGCAGGTTCAGTCCCCGTTGGGGTGAATGTGAAGGGCAACTGATCAATGTTTCTCTCCCTTCCTCTCTCTCTTTCCCTTCCTTTTTCTTTAGAATCAATAAAAACATATCCTCTCTGGTGAGGATAAAAACGAACAAACAAACAAACAAACATGAGTGCAAATTTGAACACAAGACATCAGTAACTTCTTTTAGAGCACCCGGAGCATATCTCTGATTTAGTTGATGTCTCTGAAATGTAGCATTCAGACATTCTTAACCCAACAGCTTCTAGTTTATAATGAACCCCATTATTGCAGTGATGTGGCAGCACTAGATTTGGGTTGCAAATGTCATCAGCCCCATTGGTGTAAAAAGCAAACTCAGCTTCAAGGCAAATAATAAGGACTTCAGAGAAATGACTTCAAAAACCCCAGTGAAGAGTGGAGTAATACTTCTTGAGACCCAGTTTCACATCTTCTTTCCTCAGTAGACTGTTTTGGTGTGGGTAGTAGGTATGCAAGTATCTCTCTGATTAAAAGAACGGACAAAAAAAGGGAATATGGCCAATACTCAGGTAGGGTGGATGAGGTGGGGAGGTGAGATGCAATAGAGTAGGGTGGTGGCTGATCATATCCCCACAGATTTATGACTTGCTTTAAATCCAGTCTCTTTCTTTCCCTGCCCTTTTTTTCATCTCTCTTCTCTAATCTGCACTAAATCCAAAATTCCTCAAAATGTAGTTAGTCAATCAAGAAACTGGAGAAACTGACATCTCTGACAGTTTTTCAAAGGTTTCTAGAATAACTGCTATTTCTGTTGACTGCAGTATGTACCTGTGAATGAAAACCAGAAAGAAAACAGAAAGGAGGCCTTATAGGGAAATGAATTGGGGAGTGAAAAATGTAGGAGTGAACGCAGAAGCCTGGGGCCTAAAGTTGAGGGAGGAGTAGGCAAGGGGCTTTAGTTATACATGCTTCAGGGCCTTCTCCCTGGAATAGCAGAATGGGGACACAGTAAACAGGCAGCCAGTAGTCCCAAACCATAGTTCCTTTTTTAAATATGCACATTTTATTGATTTTTTACAGAGAGGAAGGGAGAGGGATAGAGAGTTAGAAACATTGATGAGAGAGAAGCATCGATCAGCTGTCTCCTGTACACCTCCTACTGGGGATGTGCCCACAACCAAGGTACATGCCTTCGACCGGAATCGAACCTGGGACCCTTCTGTCCACAGGCTGATGCTCTATCCACTGAGCCAAACCAGTTAGAGCCCAAACAGTAGTTCTTTTTTTTTTTTTTAATAAGTTTTTATTGTTCATATTATTACAAATGTTCCTTTTTTTCCCCCCCACCATTGCTCTCCTCCACCTGGTTCCCACCCCACCCTCTGCCCTTTCCCCTCTCCCCATTGTCCTCATCCATAGGTGCACAGTTTATGTTCAGTCTCTTCCCACGCCCCCCTCTCCCCTTTTCCCCAAGAATCGTCAGTTCACTCCCCTTCCATACCTCTGATTCTATTATATTCAATAGTTAATATTGTTCATCAGATTTTTTTAATTCCCTTGGTTTTTAGATTCACTTGTTGATAGTTGCATATTTGTTGTTCATAATTTTTATCTTTGTTTACTTTCTCTTCTGAAAGAACCCCCTTCAGCAATTCATATAATTCTGGTTTGGCGGTGATGAACTCCTTTAGCTTTTTTTTATTAGTGAAGCTCTTTATCTGGCCTTCGATTCTGAGTGATAGCTTTGCTGGGTAGATTATTTTTGGCTGTAGGTTCTTGCTATTCATCACCTTGAATATTTCTTGCCATTCTCTTCTGGCCTGCATGGTTTCTGTTGAGAAGTCAGCTGACAATCGTATAGGTGCTCCTTTATAGATTACTACCTTCTTTGCTCTTGCTTCTTTTAATATTCTCTCTTTGTCTTTTGCTCTTGGAATTTTAATAATGATGTGTCTCGGTGTGGTCCTCTTTGGATTCCTTTTGTTTGGAGTTCTGTGCGCTTCCTGGACTTGAAAGTCTAATTCTTTCACCAGGTGGGGGAAGTTTTCTGTCACTATTTCTTTCAGTATGTTTTCGATATCTTGCTCTCTCTCATCTTCTGGGACCCCAATAATTCTGATGTTGGTTCTCTTGAAGTTGTCCCAGAGGTTTCTTACATTATCTTCAATTTTCTGGATTCTCTTGCCTTCTAGCTTCTGTGGAGGAGTGTCTTCTGGCTCTTTATGTTCCAAATCTTTGACTTGATTCTTGTGATCTTCCCTTCTGTTTTTAGGACTCTGTAAAATATTTTTTATTTCAGACAATGTATTCTTTATTTCTTGTTGATCCCTTATCATTTCTCGATGACTCCTTATTAATTCTAGTTGATCTCTTTTCATATCCTCATAGGCCTTATCCATCTTTTCTAGGAAATTCTTGAAAAACCTTATAAGCGTAGATTTGAACTCTATATCCAGACGCTTTTTGTCCTCCATTTCTTTCGTTTGTGGTTTATTTTGTTGTCGCATTTCGCAGTTACAGATGGAACGGGGTTTCAGGGTGGAGCCTGCAGCTTTGGCTTCCGTCAGCCCCGCCCTATGCTGGTCCATCAGTGCTGGCTGCCGGTGCCTCTGAGAGAAAGGTGCCCTCGATTTTCGCCTGCTGCCAAACAGTCTATGCTCTCCCCCAACAAGCCCGGTATTGGGGTTCAGTTCAGTTGGAAGTGGAGTTGGAGGTGGCGTTCAGAGCAGTCTGGAGCCCCAGTCTCCTTCCCGTCAGGGCAATCCCGCGGCACAGCCGACCGTCCCTTCTCTGCGCGCAGTGTGCGCACCGCTGGGACCTCCTTTCGCCACTTCCCCGGGGTTCCGCCTTACAGCCCGGCTCCCTATGGCTGAGCCTGAGTCCCAGGGGTCTGGCTTAAAACTGGGGATCAGAGCAGTCGGGGGCCCAGCACAGTCGGAGTTTTATCTCCTTTCTGCTAGGGAACGCCCGCCAGGCACTCGGCCTCCCTCCTCTCTGGCTCCGTCCTCTCCTGCGCCGCGTCTCCGTACCTTGGCTTTTCCAGCTCCTCCACACCTCCTTCTGGTTTTCTCCTTGCTTCTCACTGTAGGATTTCCAGTCAGTCAACCTTCCTGTAGTTCTGGGCAATGTCCGTTTTATATTTTAGTTGTATTTTATTGAAATTGTTGTGTGCGGCTGCGGCTAGGTGTTCACCTGGGCGCAGCCATCTTGGATCCTCCCAAACAGCAGTTCTTAAACATTAAA